CAAGAGCCGGAGGGTTTTGATCTTGTCTTCCCGAGTGCTTGAAATTCAAGAGGCTCTGGAGGGATTACACCACTCAGAGCTGTGGTCGGCCACCACACAGTGTAAACAAGGGAGGGAGATGAAATCATATCCATTCTGTGCTCTCCCAGGAGGAGCTGTGGCTTGAAAGCAACAGGCTGTGGGCAGCGCGCGTCGGCCTTGCGGCTGTCAATCATGCACCCATTCATGGCGGTTCCATGCTGGGGAGGGGGTGTTGCCTCCGGTGAATATCCAAAAGAGGCCAGGGATAGTGGGCTGATGCTGAGTGGACACAGGCTGCGTTTCTCCGCCCCCCCCTCCCGTGAGTTCGTAATGTCAGGCATTCACCAGAGAGCCAGTTTGGGAGAGGAGTTTGTAAGCCGCTCTGAGAGCCAGTTTGGTGTTGTGGTTAGGAGTGCAGACTCTAATCTGGGAGAACCGGGTTTGATTCCCCACTCCTCCACTTGCACCTGGCTGGATGACCTTGGGCAAGCCGTAGCTCTGATAAGGGCTGTTCTCTCAAGGGCAGTCCTCGAAAGAGCTCTCTCAGCCCCACCTACCTCACAGGGTGTCTGTTGTGGTGAGGGGAAGGGAAAGGAGACTGTAAGCCGCTCTGAGACTCCTTTGGGTAGTGAAGGGCGGGGTCTACATCCAATCTCTTCTTCTCTCTTCTCTTCTAAAATGGCCATTTTCCTTGGGTGAACTGATCTCTATGTCTGGAGATCAGTTGTAATTGCAGGAGACCTCCCGCCACCACCTGGAGGTTGAAATAGGCAGAACAACCGTGAAGTATTATGCCAAAGAAAAATATCCAAAGACGATTTAGTTCAAGAGCCAGTTTGGTGTTGTGGTTAAGTGCGCGGACTGTACTCTGGGAGAACCGGGCTTGATTCCCCACTCCTCCACTTGCACCTGCTGGTGTGACCTTGGGTCAGTCACAAGTTCTCTCAGAGCTGTTCTCTCCAAGGCAGTCCTCTCAGAGCTCTCTCAGCCCCATCCACCTCACAGGGTGTCTGTTGTGGGGAGGGGAAGGGAAAGGAGTTTGTAAGCCTCTCTGAGACTCCTCTGGGTAGTGAAGGGCGGGGTATAAATCCAATCTCTTCTTCTTCTTCTTCTTGTGATGCATGCACAACTCTGCAGAAGTCTGAAGGGCTCTGTTTCTGCTCAGAAAGTTTGCATAACTTAAGCGCTCCTCTCGGATACGTAAGGTGAAGGGCAGGGCAGGTCCTGGCACCTCAGCCTGCCTCTGTGTGCCAGGAGGACCCCTTTGATAGAGTGTCGTTGGCTTCCAGAGAGGAGTCTTCCCCCCCACACACTTTTTTTCTGGGCTGCTTCTCTTGCAGGAAGGGGCCAGCAGGAGGAGGGAGCCGCTGTTCTCTCCCCCCCCCTTGTTCCAGGCACAATCCTCAGCTCTCCTTTGTGATCAGTGGCGGCCTCCCCGCAGATTGTGACACAGATGGGTTTCACTGTGAATGCTTAGGCTGGGCCCAGACCAATGCTCCCTCTAACTTGTGGAGTCTTGTGAGCAAAAATTCTACTTTGTGAGCCACTGGCATTGTCAGGTAGCCCTGTCATGGATCTGGAATGGGGAGGGGTGCCCTCCTCCTCAGCTCTTCCCTGTCCAGCTAATGTGTGCTATCTCTGGCTTGACCTTGTAGTCTCCAGCTGCATTTTACTCGGCTGGGAAAGTAACGGCTTTTCGCTTTGCCCACTTCCTCGCTTGCTTTCGCCCCCGCGCGTGAATTATAATCATTGGCTTCTGCTCATTGGGGGGGGGGATGTTTGATTTTACTGTAAGTCAGAGGCCCTTATACTGACAGCTATTCCTGACACAAGCTGTCCACGTGTTCTTTAGTCCTGGAACCACCAATAAACAGTTATCTTCTTCTGAAGCCCTGTGTGGTGTGAACTGCCTAAGGAGCCTGACAGGCATTAAAGTTGTGAGCGAGCCGTTTGGCTACTGCATCAATCAGTTTGCTCTGGAGCCACATCCTTCCTGAGCCAAGACATAAATGTGTGAGCCGGAGGCTAAAAAAAAGTGATCTGGTTCACACTAACTCAGCTTAGAGGGAACACTGGCCCAGACCCCCAGCAGAGGGGATCCGGGCCAGGGCAAAAGCATTTGTTTGTGGGGCTTTGCACACCCGCCATGCCCAGTGGAGAGCAGGTGTGTGGCTGCATCGTGTCTTTGCCCAAGTAGCAGTTTGCGCAAGGCACTGTGCTGCTGCCAGGTCTCTCCCCCCCCACACACGAGGGGAGGTGTTTGTGCCTCAGCCAGCAATACGTTTAAATCGGCCCCAAGCTGTCGCTGTTTGTACAGCTGCCAGAGGGCAGTACTGGAGCTCTGCCTTCTCCTCCTCTCTGTCCCAAGAGGCACCACTTGGCTGCAGTGCGGCCAGGCATTCTTGGTGGTGCGGCAGGCTCCGCTCTCCACTCTGGCACGCTGGAAGGGTGTCCACAGGGCTCTTGGCCAGCTTGAACAGTGAGCTGAGGTCCTCCTCGCCAGCAGGGGGAGCTTGTCACTGGCAGAGCAGGGAGGAGGTCAGCGCCCTGCATGCCTTCATAGAATCATAGAATGTTAGAGTTGGAAGGGACCTTGCAGGTCATCCAGTCCAACCCCCTGCCCTGTGCAGGAGCATAGCCGAAAGACAGCCCTACATACCTACAACATACCCGAAAGAGGGTCGTCCAGCCTCCACCTGAAAACGGCCAGCGAAGGAGCACCCACCACCTCCCGAGGCAGACTGTTCCATTGCTCAGCCACCCTTACAGTTAGGAAGTTTCTCCTGATATTTAGCCAGTATCAACTCCCTTGTAATTTCCACCCATTAGATCTAGTCTTGCAATCCGGAGCAAGAGAGAATAGATCTGCTCCATCTTCTACATGACAGCCCTTCAGATACTTGAAGACTGCGATCATGTCCCCTCTAAGACTTCTCTTTCCCAGGCTAAACAGACCCAAACTCTTTCAGCCTTTCCCCCTAAGACTTGGATTCCAGCCCTCTCACCATCCCGGTTGCCCTCTTCTGGACACGCTCGAGCTTGTCAACATCCTTCCTGAAATGTGGTGCCCAAAACTGGACCCAGGACTCCAGGTGAGGCCTGAGTCCATAAGCAGAACAGAGCGGAACGACCACCTCCCTTGATCTGGACACAAGGCTTCTGTGAATGCATCCTAAGATTGCATTCGCTTTCTTCGCAGTCACAGACAGGATGGCCAAGAGACCGAGGGCTGATTTTCATGTTACAACTGCCACAGAGACTTTGGATCACGCGTGCACGGGGAGCTGCGTGCTTCCCAGGCACACAATTTGGATGGGGACTGCAGCACACACGGTGCACACAGTTCATCCCCCACCCCCCAGTGCCACGTTCCCAACCTCGGGTGGCCCCAGGGAACCTCTGCTTACCCCACTGGGGAACACACGTGTTGTGATGGCCCTCCGCAACTTTGGCCAAAAGAGCAGCTCCCCGGGGCCCTTTCATGTTGGACAAATGGTGTAGGGAGGAAGGCTGGAATTCGTTCTGTGTGCCCGCTGGGGTGCCAACCCAGATCAGCCCTGCACACAACTGGGAAATAAAAAGCACACGTGAGTCAAAGGCCTCATGGCAGCCACAAGGCCTGTGTAAGCGGTGACTCAGCCCCACGGGGCCCAAGGAAGGCTGGTCCCAGCTCTCACCCAAGGTCATATTTGTCTCTGGAGGGTAATCCAGAGTCCTTCTTCCCCTGTTATGTCTGCATGTTAATGGGGCTGTTGAATGAAATCGGTGTCATTAGAATCTCTCTGGAAGACTTTGTATTCCAAGAAGCATATCTTACGCCGCCGGTTTAGACATCACTCACTTCCTGCGGTTGTTGTTGGGCTGGGGGCTGGGGTGTGCGGCGGCACAGCAAACCTTTTCCCCAAACCTTTCCCTTATGGGCAGCCTGCATGTGTGCAGTTTAAACATGTGCTATGCATGTCAAGAACATGGGGAGAGCCCTGCTGGATGAGACCAGTGAAGGTCCATCTCGCCCAGCATCTCTTCTCGCACAGGGGCCGACCAGCTCTGGAGGTCCAGCTACAGGGCACAGAGGCCGAGGCCTTCCCCTGATGTTGCCTCCTGTCACTGGGATTCAGAGGCAGACTGCCTTTGAACATGGAGGCTCCCTTCAGTCACCATAGCTGTTAATAGGGTTGCCAGCTTTTACAACTGATCTCCAGCTGACAGGGTTCAGCTCCCCTGGAGAAAATGGCTGCTTTGAAGGGTGGACTCTATGGCACTGTACCCTGCTGAGGCCCTTCCCCTCCCCTCCCCAAACGCCACCCTCTCCTGGTTCCACCCCCAAAGTCTCCAGGTATTTTCCAACCCAGACCTGGCAACCCTAGCTGTTAGCCACTGATAGGCCTCTACACCATGAATCTATCTAAACCCCACGTACATCAGTGTCACGGGCTGATGGCATGTAAAGCACTGTGTGGAACACAGGCAGAAGAGGCATTGAAATATAGGTAAAGGTAAAGGTTTCCCTTGCTCGAAAGCCAGTCGAATCCAACTCTAGGGATGCAGTGCTCATCTCCGTTTCCGAGCCGAAGAGCCAGCGCTGTCTGAAGACTTCTCCATGGTCATGTGGCCGGCATGACTAAACACCGAGGCGCACGGAACACTGTTGCCTTCCCACCGAAGCGGTACCTATGTATCTACTTGCAATCTCTTGCTTTCAAATGGCTAGGTTGGCGGGAGCCGGGGCCAGAGACGGGAGCTCACTCCATCACGCGGCACTCGAGTCTCGAACTGCCAAACTACAGTCCTTCCAGTCACCGCAGCCCCGTATTGAATGGTGGCCCCTTCAAATATGGACTTCCTGCATGGGAAGAGCTTGTGGGGAGTGGCAGGGTGGTGGCAGCTCTGATCTCTCCTACCCTGATGCACGCCCAGCAACAGGCCAGGCTATTCACGTGATGTGTTTTCTTTTCTCCCCCGGGGTTTCGTGGCTGCAGGCGAATCTGAAGAAGTTTATGGAGTATGTGCAGACGCTGAATGTCGAGAAGGTCAGCAGGCTGCTGGAGAAGGGACTGGACCCCAACTTCCATGACCCGGACACTGGAGGTGAGAGCGGCTCCCCCCCCCCATGGCTGAGTTCTTGGTGGGGGGGTGGAGGCCACAGGACAGATGGGGAAGGGTCTAGTGTGGGCTCCCTAGGGTGCCCAGAAGAATGAAGGGGGCTGTGGACTCAGAGAGTTCGGACAAAGGGGCCATGTACTACCCCCCCGAACCCCTCTTAGATATCAGGAGGAGTTCAGAAGACTGAAGGTAGGTAAGAAATTAACTCATTCCAAGATTCCGTTGGCTGTGTCGTCTTATTTATTTATTTATTTATTTATTTCATTTATACCCCGCCCTCCCCGCATTGCGGGCTCAGGGCGGCTTACAACCATAAAACACAAGGTACAATAAAATACAATAAAACAGTTTAAAACAATTTACACATGGGCCACGCCCAAGGATCCCGCGTGACTGAACCCTCTCTCCATTGCACATACCCTTTCCATTCCAGGGGAGGTTACTGTGGCCCCCTGATGTTCATTGCCACTCAACCTCTGGCGGTGCTATAAACGGTCCTCATTGGTGGTAGTGGTGACGGCGGCGGCTCCTATTCAAAAGCCTGGCGGAAGAGCTCCGTCTTACAGGCCCTGCGGAACTGCAACAAGTCCCGCAGGGCCCTGATCTCCTCCGGGAGCTCATTCCACCAGATAGGAGCCGCCACCGAAAAGGACCTAGCCCTAGTGGCAACAAGCCTGGCCTCTTTCGGGCCCGGGATCGCAAGGCGATGTAGCGACCCCGACCGAAGTGCTCTTTGGGATCTATGTGGGGCAAGGCGGTCCCTCAGGTATGCTGGACCCAGGCCATGTAGGGCTTTAAAGGTAACGACCAGCACTTTGAAGCGAATCCGGTATGCTATGGGCAGCCAGTGCAGCGCTTTGAGCACAGGCTGGATGTGGTCCCATTTCGAGACACCAGCAACCAGCCTGGCCGCCGCATTCTGCACTAGCTGCAGCCTCCGAATCAGCGACAAAGGCAGCCCCATGTAGAGAGCGTTGCAGTAGTCTAGCCTTGAGGTGACCGTCGCATGGACCACTGTGGCTAGGTCTTCACGGCTGAGAAAGGGAACCAACTGCCGCACCAGCCGAAGATGGTAAAAGGCCGCTTTGGCAGTGGCTGCTACCTGGGCCTCCATCGATAAGGTGGAGTCCAGGAGCACTCCCAAACTCCTAACCTCCGAAGCTGGCACCAACGGCGCCCCATCGAAGGCCGGGAGCGGGAGCCCCAATCCCTTCCCGTTCCGGCCCAGACACAGGACCTCCGTCTTCGCCGGATTCAACTTCAACCGGCTCAGCCTGAGCCATCCAGATACGGCCTGCAACGCCCGATGCAGATCTTCAGGATCAG